TCTTTTGAGAAGTATCTGCTCAGTTAATTTGTCTATTCACTGGATTATTTGTTCTTTTGAACTGAGTTCCTTATATATTCTGAGCATCATTCCTTTGAAGAATAGCTGACAAAGATTTTTCTCCCATTCTGTAGGCTTTTTACTCTGTTAATTGTTCCCTTTGCTGCTCAAAGCTTTTTAACTTTGATGTAATCCAATTTGCCAATTCTTGCTATTATTTCCTGAATTATTTGAGTCCTTCCAAGAAGTCATTACTTGCATCTATGTTTTGAAATGTTTTCCTGTAGTGGTTTCAAAGTTTAGGTCCTACATTTATATCCTTTTTGCATTTCGAGTTAATTTTTGTACATGGAAGAGGTAAGGATCTAGTTTCAACCTTCTCCACATGGACTGCCCAGTTTTCTCACACCATTTGTTAAAGATGCTATCTTTTCTCCAACATATGTTTCTGGCCCCTTTGTCAAGAATCAGCTATACTTGCATGGACTGTGCCCTCTACTCCATTTGGACTACATATCTGTTATTGTGCCAATATCATACTGATTTTGTTACTATGGCTTTTTAGAAATTTGAATTTGGGTAATGTGATGCCTCCAGCATTGCTTTCTCCTCAGGTTGCTTTGGCTATTCTTGATATTTTATGTTTCCATATGAAGTTTGGATTTTTTTTCTAGTTGTGTGAAGAATATCACTGGTCTTTTGATGGCGATTGCACTGAATCTGTTTTTTTTGTTGTTGTTTTCTCTTCTGGTACCAGGAATTGAACTCACAACCTTGTGCTTGCCAGGCAGGTGCTGTGCTGCTGAGCTAAATCCCCAGCCCAGATTGCATTGAACCTGTGGCTCACTCTCAGTTATATGGCCACTTTAACAATATTAATTCTGCCTTAATCCATGAACATGAGAGCTCTGTCCATCTTCTGTAATCTTCTTCAGTTTCTGTCTTCAATGTTCTTCATTTTCATTGTAAACATTTCCCATCTCCTTGGTTGCATTGATTCCTAGGTAATTTTAGAAGCTATTGTGAATGGAATTGTTTTCCTTATTTCTTTCTCAGCTATTTCACCATTGGAGTAAAGAAAGGATATTAATTTTTTAATGTTGATTTTGTGTCTTGTTCATTTGTTCCATTTGCCTATCAGCTAAAAGTCATTTGATGGCATCTTTAGGGTCTTCTAAGTATAAGATCATATCATCTGCAAGTTTGAGTTCTTCCTTTTTTCTTTTTATCCATTTCATTTTTTTCTCCTGATTAATCCTTTTGGCTGAAACTTCAAGGAGTATATTGAATAGAAGTAGTGATAGTGGACATCTTCGTCTTGTTCTTTGGTTTTTAAAAAAATTTTAGACAGGGTCTCACTATGCAGTTCAGGCTGGCCTTGACTTCACCTCATAGCCCAGGCTGGTCTCACATGCACAACGATTCTCCTGCCTCTGCCTCCAAAGTACTGGGATTACAGGCATGCACAACCACACCGGGCTCTTTGTCTTGTTCTTCATCTTCCATGAAATGCTTTCAGTTTATCCCACTCAGTATGATGTTGATTATGGGTCTGTCATATATAATAGCCTTTATTATGTAGAGGTATGATCCTTCAATATCAAGTTTCTTTAGAGCTTTTATCATGAAGGGTGTGGAAATATATTGAAGACTTTTTCAGCATCAATTTAGATGATCAGTTAATTTTTATCTTTGATTCTGTGTGTGATGTCTTACATGTATTGATTTGTATATATTGAGCTATCCTTGTATCCCTGAAATGAAACCAATTTGATGGTGGTATATGATCTTTTTAATGTCTTGAATTTTGCTTGCAAGTATTTTATTAAGGAAATTTGCCTGTATGTTCATCAAGGATGGTCTATAGTTTTCTTGTAAAGTTTTGGTATCAGGCTGATACTGGAATTATAAAATAAGTTTATCCTTCCCTTTCTTTTATGGGAAGTTTAAGGAGAATTGGTGTTAGTTTTTTAAGGGCCTGGTAAAATTGAATATTGAATGTCTGGTCCAGTTTTTTCCTGTTGAAAAATTTTTTTACTGTTATTTGTTTAGTATTTTTATTCTCATGGTTCAATTTTGTAGGTTATATGTGTCTAGAGATTTATTCATTTCTTATAGATTCTCAAATTGATTTTCTTTAAACAGCCCCCAGTGTAATTCCATTTGTCAATTCTCGTGATTATTTCCTGAGCTATTAGAGTCTTCCTATGAAGTCATTGTTTATACCTGCATTTTGAATGATCCTCTTGATTTCAGTGGTGTCTCTTGTAACATCCCACTTTTCATTTCTATATTGATTTGGAACTTCTTTCTCTTTCTCTTGATAGATTTGGTATATGTTCTTTTAGTCTGTATCTCATCAATTTCAGCTCTGATCTTTCTTATGTCTCTTCTTCCACTGTGTTTGGTTTTCTTTTGGTTTGTTGTTGTGCTTCTAGTACATTGAGATGCATCATTAGATTATTTGTTTGAGATAACTGACTTTTTGAAGTAGGCACTCATATAACTGCCTTTGCTGTATCAGAAACTATGGTATGCTGAGTGCCATTTTAAATTAATTTTAGGAATTTTCACCTTTGATTTCTTTAATGACTCCATGATTATCAAACATGAATTGTTCAATCTTCATGTGTTTGTATTTTTTCTGTAGTTTCACTTGTTGATTTATAGTTTCTTTTCACTGTGAGCTAATAAGATATTGGAAATTAGTTCAATTTTTTGCATTTTTAAGGATTTTCATAATGACCTAAAATATGACTTACTTTGAAAAATGCCATGAACTGCTGAAAAGAATGTGTATTCTCCAGTTGCTGGGTGGAGCAGTCTACAGATGGTCCTGTATTTGAACTATGAGGTAGTTTATCTATTGGTGAGATTTAGTATTGAAATCACCCCTGTTATTGTATTTGGGCCTGTATATTGAGTCATGTGAGTTTTATGAAATTGGAAACAGTGAGATATAGATAGATAGATCTAGATCAATATCAATATCTATGCCTATATCATCTTCTTGGTTAGTTGTTCCCTTTACACCCACTTTATCTCTTTGACTAATGTTGTCCTGAATTTTTTTTTGCTTTTAGATTTTATTTGCATGGAATATTGTTTTCCTTGCTTTCATTTTTTAATTTGTGTCTTTGCACGGGAGGTGTATTTCTTGCAGGCAGCAAAGAGTTGGGTATTGTTTTTAAATCTAACCCACTTACTTCTCTTGTGTTTTTTTAATTGGACAGTTAAGACTGTTTGCATACAGGGTCATTGTAGAAAGATATGTACTAATTCCTATCATTCTGTTAGTTTTTTAATGCTTGATTCTTTCATAATTCTCATTTTCTTATCTACTTTTCCTCTTATGTGTATAGATTCTTTTAAATTTCTTCAATGCTGGCTTAGTAGTCATGAATTCCTTTAGTTTATGCTTATCTTGCAAGTTATCTCTCCTTTAATTCTGAAGGATAGCTTTACTGAATATAGTAATATATATCAGCATGTATTTTCTTTCAGGGTTTGAGATGTATCATTTCATGCCCTCCTGATCATTAGAGTTTCTGCTGAAAAATTTGCATTTATTCTGATGGATTTGCCTATGTAAGTGACTTGGCATTTCTCTCTTGACACGTTCAACATTCTTTCTTGTTTTGTATTCTTGTTGGCTCAACTGTATTATGACATGAGGAGGTTTTTTTTCTGGTCATGTCTATTTAGAGCCTTAAATACCTTTTCCACCTGGATGTTCATACCTTTCCCAAGATTTGAGAACTTTCCTGTTATTGTTTCACTGAATAGATTTTCTGTGCCTTTAGGCTGTACCTCAGTGCATTCTTCTACCTCCAAAATTCATGAGATTGATCTTTTAATTGTAATTCAGAGTTTTGGGATATTTCATTTATAATTTCTTTTTTTCTTATTAGTGTCTGAGTGTGAAAATTCATCAACTTTGTCGGAAACTTTGACATTCTAACTTCTCCTTGATCCAGCCTATTGATGAAGCTTTTCCCTGTGTTTTATTTGATTTGCTGAGCTTTTCATTTCCAGAACTTCCGTATGATTCTTTTTCAGAACCTCTACCTCCTTTTTAGTTGCTCTTCACATCCTGTATTGTCTTTCTTCCTTAATCTATTTGAATCCTTTTTGAAGTTGTTGATCATTTTAAAAGTCAGTCTTTTGAATTCTCCCAGCCAAGTCCTAACCAGTCCCAACCCTGCTTAGCTTCTGAGATCAGACAAGATCAGGCATGTTCAGCCATAGACAGTCTTTTGAATTCTGTATCCAAAATTTCTATTTTTCCATCTTTGCATTTAGTTACTGAAGAATTATGGAACTTTGTTTTTTGGCTTTTGGTTTTTAATGTAAAAAAAGATAATGTATTGGGATAATTATGTTTTTTTTTTTACAGTCAAATGGTCTTATATGGCCTGAGTGTGATGGAGTGTGGATGACAAATGTACATTTCAGACTTTCATTACCAATGAAAAAATAAAGCACTTTTATAGACTTAAAACTGTCGTTAGTGCATTTAGATTTTGGAGAAAGAATCAAAATGTAAAATACCTCCACAATACTACAGTGTTAATAAAAATTTGCCACATTCTAAGGTCATTTTAGTAACTACCATTGTTTAAATATAGGAAAAGTAATGTCTGGGCCCAAATTAATGAAATCTTTTTTTTTTTTTTTTTTTTTTTTTTTTTTTGTCTTTTTGAGACAGGGTCTCACTATGCAGTTCAGGCTAGCCTTGAGCTCACTTTGTAGCCCAGGCTGGTATTGAACTTGCAATGATCCTCCTGCCTCAGCCTCCCAAGTGCTGGGATTACAGGTGTGCACCACCATGCCCAGCCAAATTAATGAAACCTTTAAAAAGATTGGTTTTAGAGAATATTGGGGACAGTGCTTTTTCAGACACATTCTTATATTCAAAATCAGTGTTGTAACAGAACAACAGATTAACCTTTTAATCACATTGTTCTTTAAAAGCTGTCAGGCCTCCACTTCTCTGGAAGATATTTTCACCGGAGTGTTGTTCAACTCCACAAGGTAAGCTTTCTTCATTATTGCTAAGAGCTCCAGGCATATTAGAGAACTTGCCATTCACTGCTTTTTCATCTTTTAAAAAAGATATGGGCTGGTGACCACATCGGAAGCTCTCGGCTTTGTTGTAAGTGCCATTCTTCCTTCATACTTTCTAAATGAAAGACTCAACTTTCACGGAAAATTGGGTGTCTGGTAAGTACTCTTGGATCTACAGTGATGGTCATCCATGCCTCAAAACAGGAGATAGAGACCTTGAATGAAACATCACACAAGTTAGGTGAACCAGGCTTTGAGGTCTCTGAGACACTTGTGGTCATCATGTCCTTCATACTAATCTTTGCGGTGGGACCTCGCCACAGGCAGACCAACACCCTCATGTACATCACCATCTGCTCCGTCATTGGTGCATTCTCCGTCCCCTGCGTGAAGGGCCTGGGCATCGCCATCAAGGAGCTGTTGGCCGGCAGGCCTGTGCTGCAGCACCCGCTGGCCTGGGTCCTGCTGCTGAGCCTGGTGGTCTGCGTGAGTATTCAGATCAACTACCTGAACCTGGCGCTGGACGTATTCAACACGTCCATCGTGACCCCCGTCTACTACATGTTCTTCACAACCTCTGTTTTAACTTGCTCAGCTGTTCTCTTTAAGGAGTGGCAGGTTATGCCTATGGATAATGTCACTGGAACTCTGAGTGGCTTCTTCACAATCACCGTGGGGATATTCTTGTTGCATGCCTTTAAAGATGTCAGCCTTAGTCTAGCTGGGGCAAAGGCCTACACAGTGAAGTTGGCCACCTCACCAGCTCCCACTGACAGCAGTCCAGCCCACCACAATTCCTTAAGATATGCATGGCTACCTTGACCTGCTCTCATGGAGCCTTTCCTAGAAGGTCTCAGAAGGCCTTTATTTTTCAAAATGAAACTCCCTCCAATAAAAATGCTAGAGGTCATAGCCAAGCCCAAGCCAATATAAAAGTCATATTTTCCACACCCTGGGCTCATTTCATTTGTTATATAAGCAGTTTCTGGGAATCACACTGATGATTACAGAATGTAGAAACTGCTGATAACTGTATACAGGTTGATGCAGTTTTCAAGTACCCCCATGTAGGCCACACCCTCCTGCACTCACCCGGCCACTGCCTTCTTTGCTGTCCAATAGGAAGTGCCAGTTTTCGGGGCCACTGCCAGGCACACTACCATAGGCACACCCAAACAAGCCTACCCAGGTGACCTCCTGCCTGCCACTCAGAATTTTGGAAAAGCCATGTGCCTTGTTTTCTCATCTTTCTTGTGTTTCTGTGTGGAGATATGTGCACCTGCTGTGATGAACAGCTCCTCCATGTTCATATGTGGGTCTTTGTGCCCAGTCTTCTGGGGGCTTGATTGCCAGCACCACTCAGAGGAAAGAAAACACACCACAATGACAACAGTGGCAAAGGTCAACCAGACACTGAAATACAGTAAAAGCCAGTTAAAAGCAACAACTATAGCAACATTAACAATAGAAAAAAAAGGAGGAATAATAATTTAAAGTGCTAAAAATTAATAAAGGTAAAAGTAATAATAAAAATAGAAGAGTAGAGAAAAGGAAAATGGAAACAGGAAGATTTTAAAAGTGGATCATAAGAAAGAGGTGAAAGGAATGTAAAAAGTCAGTTGATGAGTTAGGAGAAACCAGATTTAAAAAATAGGAAAAACCAAACAAAACAGAAAGAGGAGGAGGACAAGGAGGATGAGGAGAGGGAAAGACCAAGGGAGTATTCAAAAGAGAAAAAGAAAAATGAGTCAAAAAATTCTCCTACACCAAGGTGTTTGGATTGTGAACATTTATTTCCAGGACCTGTAGTATTGTTAAAGATATTCTACAGCAGAAATACAGTGTGACTGTAGCTGTTACTTTAAGGTATCAACACTTAAATCTACAAAGAAGGGGTTTGAGAATTGCTCACCGGTATAGTTTGCCTAGCACATTCGAACCCCTGGGTGGTGGGCTACAGAGAAGAAACTAGTGAAATTAATTTTAATAATTTATTAGCCCAATATATCCAAAATATTACATTCCCAACATGTAATCAATACAACATATTAATAAATATTTTACACTATTTTCATGCTAAGCCTTGGAAACCCAGCGTGAACATTCAGACGGAGCAAGCTCAGTCCAGACCAGCCACGCTGCAGGAGCTGCATGTGGCTGATCGCTTCCATGTTGAACAGTGCAGCTTTAGAATTTCAGTTTTGGTTTCTTCTTTAACACATAGTTACCTAAGGATGAAATTTAAGTAGAAACAGACATTTTGTTTTTGTCTTTAATGTTTAGTTTTATTGGACTGAGATCAGGAAATGTGAGCAGAAATTAGTTAATATTTTTCTTGGCTGTCAAATTTATGATTTTTAAATAAAAGCTCCAGAGGTTCTTGAAAAGGAGATAAATTTTCTAATCTTAAAGTACAGAATTCATTTCATTATTCATAATATCAGTGCCTATTTTGTGGAAGGAGAATTACTAAACTCAGTACAAAGCCAGGAGAGGTGGCGCACCCCTGTAATCCCAGCACTTGGGAGGCTGAGGCAGGAAGATCATTGCGAGTTTGAGACAAGCCTGGGCTACAAAGTGAGTTCAAGGCCAGCCTGAGCTGCATAGCGAGACCCTGTCCTAAAAAGACAAATAAATAAATAAATAAATAAATAAATAAATAAACAAACTAAACTCAGTAAAAGGTTACCTTTCTTATTTGTTTTTATTAATTTCCTTTTGTATCTTTTTGCAGTTTTTGTTTTATGTTGATGGCTTTTTATTTTGCATTTTAAGCTTTAGAAGAGCTATATATTCATTGAAAATTGTAAATTTTATCTTCATGCTGTCCCTTTTGTCGCTCTGTTTGTAAATTTTTATGGCATATTATAATTTCTGGGCTTATTTGTAGTTTCCCAGTAAGAAGTTACTAGCCCTTTCAAATGAGTTTTTGTAAACAGTATATAGCTGGCTTTTCGATCAGTTACTATATGTTTTTCAAATAGCCAGTTAAACACGCAGAATGTGGTAAGAGGAAAACATGGTTTCCCCTTCTCTCTTAGAGAATGAGCTGGAGCATCATCCCTGTCCCGCACTTCTGGTTTCTGGGTGGGTACCTCGAGGCGGTGGAGCCGTCTGTCCTGCGCATGCGAGATGTTTAGCAACATCCACGACCTTCACCCACCGGCAGCATTGAGGGCCCCAGCTGTGACGACTGAGAAATCTCTAGACGTCTTCAAATATCCCATGAGGACACAGTCACCCCTGATGAGAACCACTGATCTAGAAGGACATTCCACATTTTCCTCCGGTGCTTCCTACCCACCTGTTCCCATCTGCTCCCACCGGATGGAGGTTTCAGTGTGAGAAGCGGGGCAGACTGGAGACCTCACGCCTACAGAGAGAGCGCCTGCTTTGACCTCTAGAAACGCTCCCTGCTGACAGCCTTCCAAATTCGCGGTGGAAGGTGACATCCTCCATTTATTTGAATGCTACTGACGCTTCCTTGCTAGTGTGACTCCTTCTGTTCTTATGAAGCTCTGCTCTGCTCACCTTCTTCCCACAGCTGTCTGCTCCCTCAGCCCCGCCCCGAGTTCTCTTCAGAGGCATCTGACACAGAGACGTCAGGTTATGGTGAGACTATAATTAAATCCAGAGTCACCTCTGATCAGATGGCATTAAACAGAGGAACCTGAAATGGGGAACAGTGTTCTCTAAAGGGAGAAATATTTTTACATGAATATTTTGGTATTTGTTAATGTGCCGGAGTTCATAGAGATGTGTAGGAGGCGCTGAATAGAAATCCAATTTGTAGTGATTATTTCCAATTAAGATTAGCATAGAAATCTTTCAGGAGTGGGAGGCAGAGTCTGCTGTTCAAGAGAGAAAAGGATTTAAGGTGTAGGTGGGGAGAGTGAGAAAAGCTGAATGTAAATGTTCCTGGAACAGAAATGGCAGAAGAGCGGGCAGGTCTCTTGAGAGCCGGATATCAAGCCAGGAAGTGACCCAGGCCCAGAGACCGCAGCGGTGGCCAGGCCTGGATGCTGGTCTTGCCTGATCTCTTGAATGCATGTGATCACCTACAGCTTGCACAGACTTCTGGGCCATTAGCATCTTAAGTAACATGAGTGCACAGAAGAGTCTAATAATGGGATTTGTGATGGGATTCCTACACAGAAAAGGCGATTTAATAAACTCTGTAAGTTGCAGTGAGCTCTTGTTTTATCCCACAGTGCTTGTAAAGCACCTGGTGGGTTTCAAATATACTTTATGATGTAAAGGTAAAGTTCCATGTTCTGTGCCATCGATGGGTTCACAGGCTACTACAGAAGATGGAAGGAAAGCTCCAGCCACACTCACAAAGCCATGCCATCCGTCCTGTAGCGGTTTCATGGCTCTTCAAAGAAGGGGCACCTCATACTGTACAGGAGGCAGAGAGGAGAGAGAAGTCAGGAATTAAAACCAAGCCAGGTATGAATAAAAGTGAAGCAATTGCCTGGTAAGGGTTAGAGGCATTTCTGGCAGAGGAGTCCACATGAGCACAGGCACTGAGAGAAGGAATGGTGTGGTGGGTGTGGCAGAGACAAAAGCAGTTTCTTATTCCTGAGTCTTCAGGTGTGGAATAGGCTATGGTCCCCGGAGCTTTGGATGCTCTCTCACAATCAAGCTTCCAGGACCTCACCAGCTGCACCCTCTCTGCTCAGTCATTGTCTTCAGAAGTTTTTGGAACTGGAAATAGGTTCCTGGTTTTCCTCCCAGAATTTGCTCTAACTTGGTCTTCTTGTCAGATTCTTCTCCACTTCCACCTTCTAAATATTCTCCTATCCCAGGTTTCAGCCTCTGGCCTGTTCCTCTTCTCTCTTTAGAACAATTGCCATGGCTTTCAGTACTGATACGGCGAGCGAGTTCAATGAGAATGGCATTCGCAAGAGACTGGGAGAGCAGGAATAAACAAAGCTTTATTGAGCCGGCTGATGGACAGTCTCTAACCAAGAGCCAGGGAAGTCCATGCTGATCTGGGTGTCACCTTCAGTTTAGGTATGTTTTAGGTTTCCATAGTAATCATTACCTCATTTTTGGGAATCTTCAAGAATGCACAAAGTTTACCTTCTCAGGAGCTGCCAGACAGCCAGATTCCAAGTGACCAGTACAGTTGAACTTCTAACGTACTTCCCAATTTGTCCTGTTTGTTCTGTTCCCATTTTATGCCATTGCTCCCCCTTAAATGGATTGATAACTAACCAAGGGGAAGGGGTCAACTGCAGCTTCAGTGAACTTTAAGTGGCTTCTCTTAATATGGAGTTAAAAACAGAAAATGGAGTCTCTCTTGCCCTATCATTACCATCTCTCTGCTAATGAGTCCCATTGGTATCTTCACACCCCACCACTGAGATCTAGGATGGTTTACTCAGTCACCTACTCCCCACCTCCACTTTGGTATCTGTATCAGAATTTGTATTCAATACATCTAACAAAGACTCAAATTCTCAGTGCTTTTGGTAGGATAGAAGCTAGGATATAAGGCATCTGTGATTGGTGTGGTGGCTTCAAATTTTCTGGGACCATCATTCTTTTTAACTTTCTACACCAACAAATTTAGAGACTGATCTAAACTAGAACTCCATCCACCCCCCCCATAACAAACTTCTGAGCAGATGGATGAAGGAAGGGGTCATGAAGGAACCATTCATAGCATGTTGGATACAGATATGTGCAGGAAGTTTATCATAATGTGCACTGGAGGGCATCTTCTGTAGGTAAGTGAAAGAAGTGAGACTGAGCAGGACAGTTGGACTGTGAAATGGCAAAACGAGATTTTAGCTGAACCTATAGGAAACTGTACC